TGAAACTCCGAAGGTGATTTCGACAAAGTAGCATGAATATATTTGCCTTGTGAAGTTTGAGATAATATTGACAACAACTATAAGATGTCATGAAATATTATGTGGATGAAAATATAGAAGTTTTTTGTAACACCCAACTGCTTTTCTCCATTTAAAACCCATAAAAATGTATGCACATCGTCAACTATTTACCAAAATCCTCAAACTCTTGGGGTTTTTTTTTTCCTGGGAAAAACCCATTTTCAAATTTCCCGTAGAAAACATTGTGGAGAGTTCAGCCTTCCGCCCACCTCATCGATGTCAAACTCTAACTTGCTTCGTCCCATGGCCTTCACCCATTTTAGCTATTCATCTGGGAAAAATATTGACGGGGTGAGACGTCACTCAATGAGTAAATAATAACATAATATAAATATTAATACGAAAATGATATCAGGCTAAGTTGTGACTCGGAGTGTCTTCTGTTCATTATACTCGATGTATATCTAATCACTTAATAACTTTACTTAAGTCTCACCTATGTAGATTCATAAGAGATTTCTTCCCTCGTTCACTTGACCTATCACATATACGTTATGGGTCATTCCTATATGTAATATATCCTTCGTTTAAGATTTCTCCTTTACTTTACCCTACCTGGTGTTGCATATGGTTTGTATTTATTCTTATATCCCATACGAAATTTTCCTTCACATTTTACACTTCTATCAACACGTACAACATCAAGGGATGTACTGTATACTCATAACATTATACACGTCGATATCTCATGGCACTACCATAATGAAATTAGTATATCATTACTACTTATGTCACAGTTTCCTGATCAATCGTTGTACTACTCATCATAGGAGATCATCATAAAATGTACCTCATACCACTTGATATGACATATAAAACACATCAACCTTCACATACCACATGTAAGGGTTCACATTCTATACCTCAAATATGGCAAATACTAAGATTTCCATCTCAATCATATATCACACAAAGATGGCAAATATCAAGCTTGTTATTCACATACTCATGTTGCACCCAAAATCAACAATGAATCAGCATCCAATCACACACATACATATAGTTAGCTGGATTCAGTAGCTTGTATTCTTTAATTTGCCAAGTCATGCACTCCCCGGGATCTCGTGAACTCGTAATCTCGTAGGCACGAAGTGCCAGATCTCATATACTCGTGAACTCGTGGGCACAAAATGCCATATCTCATGAACTCGTAAACTCGTGGGGCACAAAGTGCCATATCTCGTAAACTCTTAAACTCATAGGGCACAGGGTGCCATATCTCATAAACTCGTAGCCAGGCTTGGCATTACTCCTTAAAAGGAGTTCTCGTGCTCTTTTATCTCTTAGGCTTGAAGCCTCTTTTCACTTATAATGAGTGCATGACAGGGCGCCATTACGTTTGCTTTAGGTGACCATACAATTCTTATAGTTAGTCACAACTAACATAATACTTGTGTGACCCAAGGGCCATTTCATATCACATTCACTTGCATGACTCATAGGCCCTTTTACTCATCTCGTATAATTGACAAAAGGCAACTTTTCTTGCCATTCTTTTCACTTGACCGCCTCAAATGGCATTTCACATATCATATACTCATCACAAATATCATTTAGCACACACATAACAACATGTATTATGACCTTCTCGTCATACCATCATACGATCATTTCATCATATCGTCGCATTATCATACAATTACCACTATATGGTAACATCATCCAATTATGGGATCATTCAATCATTTCATCATCATTCAATCATGTAACCATGCCACATAGCAACCTTCAATCACTATCGATTTAAATCTTACCAAGCTATCATATACCTCGTACCCGGGTCGCTTCATGACCGAATACCATAATCATATTAAGATAAACATTATGTTAGAATTTACTCACAGTACGATTTTTATTCAGCTACTCCCTTTTGCTTCGATGATTCTCCTGCTTGTTGCATTCCTTTACACAAAATCAATTCATCACGTTTAATAGGCTAGCAACTCACCCATATCACTTAAATCATTTACTCAATTAAATATCATATCGTTAAAGCAACAGGGCTAGCATACATCGAAGATTCAAAATAAATTACTTAACTAACCTAATCCATCAAGGATTCCCAAAACATCTCCATTACTCCACTCCCACTCCGTATATACTTGATTGCTTAATTATCTTTATACTTTCTTTAACTCAATATCATATGGGACAAACAACTCCCAATCCCAATCAATCAAGGTCTCGTACCACACATAAACAACCATGTATAGGTAAAATACTTCTATTTATATATTTCCATCCCACCAACGACGTTTATGTTTCCCACAAACTGAAACCCATTTTCTATAACTTAATCATGACCACCCACCAATTGAGATTCGTTTAAATTTCTAGCTTACCCATGCAACTCATTCCTTCTCATCTTCCCAATTAATCTCTTCTCACCCACACTTTTCAGGATAAGTCCCATGACCAATTCATAGAATACCCCAAATCTCCTCCTACTTTAACACAGGTGGGCAATCACGCCTACTAACACCATTTCCCCACTCTTGTCACCAATTTGGACCCCAAAATGACCACATGTACATGCATATGACTACTAGGTTCTTTACTGGCCATGGGATGCATTTTAGAATCCCTACAAATACTTATTTAATCCAAGTAAAGAACCATGCATGCAAACTTTGGGCTGGTTTCAGCATGCATAACAAGATTCAAGGACAAAGTATAGTTAGCTTCCCTCAAAGAAATGATCTCTAAGCACCGGTATCAATATTCCTTCACCATACACCTTAAATAAATTAACTAAGAAAAGGGATCACCATACCTTATATGACCACCAACCCCTTGTTATTCCCCTTGCCTAGCTGAGCTCTAAAAGAAACGATGGTGGTGGTGGTATTGATGGGAGGGACTCATTAATGGTGGCTCTCTCTCAAGAAGGAACTGGTTACTCTCCCCTTTTAGAATCGGTCACCTAGCTTAGCTGCATGTACTTTTTCCAAAGCAATTGTAGAGATAAAGGTGGTAATGGTGAGGAGGCTGGTTGATGATGGCGGTGTAGTGATGGGAATGGCTTTGGTTCTTTTATCCTCACTTGCATCCAGAGATATGAAGTGGTGGAAAGTCTCTTTATTTCCTCGGTTCCTAGGGGAAGCATTTATCTCATCCCATTTATTTCCCAAGCCAAAGAAAACCCTCTACCACGTGTGCTCTACTGCTCATGTGTGGGAAATGAAACTTCTCATTTAATTTAAAGGGAAAGGCCACATCTGCTCCAATGCTTACTAGTGGGTTCGGTTCCTTTACTCAACTGCCAAGCGGTTTGGCTAACTAATATGGGTTTGAGATGTTGTAATTTACTTTGCTAAATTAATAGGTGCTCTACATGTTTTCCCGCCATTCTCTCTAACCATAGGGACTAATGGGAAAATGCGATCAATGTTTGAATTGTAACCTACATGATTTACGTACTAAGCGATTCGTGAGGGTGGGATATTACAATTTCATATATTTATAAATCTATTTTAATGAAGATAATGCCTTCGAGATTTGAGAATCTTTAAAAATCATACCACCCGTGTTTATTAAGCTTGAGCATATAGCAATAGTAAAAATTGAATGGTTTAGTGTTTGTGTTTCATCAGTATTTGTTTATTTATGTTTGATGTACAAAAAAAAACAAGAGAAACATGATCGCTTGTGTGGATCTTAGTTACTAACCAAAGAAAGAAGATCTATTTTGCTCTTTTTTTATTCGATGTTACCATAAATTAGAGAAAGTCCACTGATCATCAAGACAATCAATAAAGATTTTTTTTCCTGTAATGTTAATTTTTTCTCCGTTGGTTGTGTACTTCAAGATTCGAACTCAGGGCGTGGTGAATGTTCTTATTCCCACAATACTATTAGGTCACCCCCTTGGATGTTTCGAAGTCTTCTCATTATAATTAAATTTGAATGTCCCTATCATATATTTCACTTAAATCAAGAACTAGGAGTTACTATGCTATAAACATGAGTTTTGAAGAATTAATTACATGTTAGTCTGGAAAATACTCAAAAATTAACCTTGTAAACCTCCATGTCCCTTCTTTCTTTTTCTTCTTTGGCAAATCTATAAGAAACATGAAGAATGAGGAGAGGGTGACAAGAAGATTATGGACCAATAAACAATTTTCTTTTGAATGATCATAATTTTATTAGAAACTCATGGTTCCATACAAACAAAAATACAAAAGGCATAACAACAAGAAGATAACAAAAAAAAAAATCAAGATGGGAAAGGCAAGGAAAAAAAAACACAACACTCAAACGTGACAGAAAAGAAAAAAATGTAGCAGTTCAACCAGCAGTAGTAGAGCAGGCTAGCAACAGAAGGAGAGAGAAAAAAATAGAATACTATCGAGAACAAAAACAACTCCAAAACAAAGTGAAGAAAGAAAATAAAGATCAAATAAGTTGATTTATCTCGTGATGAAGGCAATCCAATCTTACGTGTGTATAAGTTGAATTTAGCCGATACAGAAAAAAAGGTCAATAAAAGATGCAGGCTTTATCCCTCCATATCATATGCATTACCTATAGCATTCGACCCCTTCCTCTTTGTAGGAGTTCATTTATTTCTACTCATTTCGTCCTACCAGCGGAAGAGAATTGATATGATTTGTGATGTTCTCCGGTTGCCTATTATAATTTTCATCCCCCACCGAAGTAATAATCAATATTATAGTAGGAATATTTCCCCATTCACACACCAAAAGTTAGTGAAAAAATATCGATCTCAGTGAGATAACACATAGTTGAATGACTGATTAGCTATTACTTCTATTCGTAGCTCTTTCGTTAATTTTGAATGGTTTATTGTGAAATACATTTGTGTGACTTCCTAAGGGACTTTTACATACATTACTTGTAGTTTGGTGATTTCCCGTAAAAAGGTTGAGAAGTAGAATTTAGTTTGGTAGCAAGAGAATAATAAACTTCCAACTGGGCTTTACCCCAACTCTTTTTGTATTATTCTTTCTTGCCAACACAAATCTTACATATTAGGCAGATTGGACTCCACTCTCTGCCTTCTTCACAACAATTGGACTCTTGACATTGTGTAAACCATCTGACCAAGTCAGCTCCCCAAACACATAATCATCCCTCCCAACATCTTTCCCTAAACTTTGCAATGTAATCTTGAAGCTCTTCTCTTCATTCACCTCTTTGAACTCCAAACTAGCAGGCTCGACTTTGACCGAAATCCCAGATGGTTCATCCAGGTAAGCCTTGTACACGCCTGGAGTGCCCACGTTCTTCAAGGTTCGAGTCACAGTGACTGCTCCACTTGGTAGCTCAGGAATGGTGATGGACGGATAGTTGATGTCTGACAAACTTGTGGCAGTTTTGTTAGGGCATTGGTACGACTTATCGTAGAACTTGGCTAGTTGTTTTTCGTCGTAGCCAATGTAGCATAGGAAGTTCAAGTGATCCGTTATTGTCATATCGTAGACTAATCCGGGATCTTGTGCCTTGTTGGGCGACACGTGCCCTGCTCCGTAGTTGAAAGGGTTTGCCTCGGATCCCATTGATGTCTGGATCTTTTCTCCCTTGTTACTTTTCTTGAAACCTGGAAAATATTTGAACATTATTGTTGAGTATATGAGAATTCTTGATCGATTTAAAACACAAGGTATTATTTATATGCGAAGTCGAGAAGGGTTTACCAGTGGTCATGATTGCTGACTTGATGGCAGCAGGGCTCCATCCAGGATGGATGCTTTTGACCAAACCAGCAATGCCAGAGACATGAGGGCAAGACATTGAGGTGCCAGAGATGATGTTGAAGGGCAAATGCCGCTTGTCTGAATCACTAGTAGCCCCAGTTGCTTCTGAATATGCTGCTAGAATGTAGAGTCCAGGTGCTGTTACATCTGGCTGCAAACATTTTTCAACCACAAGAATATAAACACTATAAATTTGTGTGTTTACATCTTTTCGAACATCGCATTAAGCAATCGTGCACCTTCAAAATCTCCGGAGTAAGACCATTAGGTCCAGTTGATGAAAACGAAGCCATGGCTGGTGCTACTACTGTCTCACCAACTACAGTATCACCACTTATATAAGCCGTAGGGGACCTGAACCAGATCATTGAAAAACCACAATATGTATGAAAAACACTGGGGCAGGGCAATGCCTTGTATTGCAAGGTAGGCCGAATGGAGTTACTTACTCTGCCTGCGACATATAAGCCAATATAGAATCCCCATCTTTCTTGGAAACCATGGAAGTAGGGAGATAGTGAGCCTTTGGAGTTGGTGAGTCTGAGTATGAATTAACAAGAACCACCCCAACTCCTCCAGCTTGTGACACTTCTAAGCTCTTCTCCACATCATCACTGCTGCTAATGCAGACCACAATCTGCCCCTTCACTTTGCTTGGTTCAAGTGTACTCGAATAGCAGTATTTTCTGCAATAGCCAAAAATCATTTCAAGTTATAATGAAATATCAGTTCTGGAGATCAGGATAACTACAAAGTTTATATATTGGGTGATGATGAAATGGTTCATTTACTAACGCGTCACTGGGATCAGCATCAGAGGATTTGGCATCCACTGCATTGATCAGAGGGTAAAGGTTCCCAGGTGGTAAGGTATCAGTATTGAAGCTGATTCCCTGAAAGAGGGCAACAAGAAGGGGCATATTGGTTAATTTTGGCTAAACTACTTGAACACTAAAGGTCCCTATACCTTTGATTCTTAGCAAATTTAGTATGGAAGATCATGTTAGTGTTAAAGATTTGTAGTAACAGAAACCTTGATTTTTTGTCCATTCCCAAGGATCACATCGGACTCGAATTGCCTATCCACTGAGCTAGCTGCAACGGTTAACATCCAAGGTGCCACATTGACAACAGATGAGGCATATGGGCCAGAATTCCCAGCTGAAGCGACCACAGTTATCCCGTTCTTCACAGCATGAAAAGATCCAATTGCAATGCTGTCCGAGGAATACGCTACAGGAGAGAAGGATCCAAGTGAGAGGGAGATTATGTCGACTCCATCCTGAATCGCGGCGTCGAATCCAGCCAATATGTCAGCATCATAGCAGCCCCCATAACAGACTTTGTATGTGGCAACCCATGCTTTAGGGGATCCTCCTTTGGCTGTTCCATTAGCTGATCCCAGGAAGTTAGCCCCTGGGACAAGGCAGCCAGCTGCAGTGGAAAGGGTGTGGCTGCCATGCCCATCTGTGTCCATGGCAGAGCTGTCTGCTGCTTGTAGTTTGTTTACAGCAGAGGCACCCTGGTTGAAGTATCTTGCTCCAATTAGCTTCCTGCTTTGAAGAAATGGATAGATGTTCACGTGCAAGTGTTTGTCTACTAATATATTGTAGCACTAAGGAGAAAGAAAACCAAACCTGTTGCATTTGAATCCACTGCTGGAGTCACATTGTCCTTTCCACCTAGATGGGATGGTCTCTGATACAGTACAGTTAAAGCTTGGAGATTCAGGCCACACCCCTGCATTCATCCATCAAACACCATACATGAAAATCTTGTTTGTGTTCTGAAGTAAGAACTGCGACAGAAAGCAAATGAGTTTCTGGGATATGGTACTAACTGTGATCAGAAAGTCAATAAGAAAGTGGTTGCACAGACTTTTCAAGAGTCTTATTCTCACATGTTCAAGCAATAAAACCCACATAGCTTGAGACTCAAGAAACTACAACAAGAGATTAAAAAAAATAGAGAGGATAATGTTCTTGCCTGTATCAAGGTTGGCAATAATAACATCTTCACCAAAATTTGCAGCTTTCCAGATGGACTCCTCTGGTATCCCTCCATTGCTATCCTCTAGCCCCATGAACTCCCAACTCCTTGTGGTATGCAGCTGATTCACTTTATCTGGGAGCACTGATACCACTCCAGGGTGACCTAACCAAACATGCAATCAAAACTTGAATCTAAGTAGGTGAAAGTCATTGTGTTCTTGACATGAGCGATGAGCTATGAACCGGGAATGAAATTCATCACAATGTTCCATATATACCGGAGAGCATCTCTGCTTCATCATCTTCAAGCACAGCCGCAAACCCATTGATGATGCTGGAGTATGAGTAAAATATGGCTTCTTTAGCCCTCTCCTGGCTGTGTTAGGATTAAAACGTATAATATTATTAGTTCAGAACTTTATCTAATCCTTGATTGAAGTGTGACATAAGAATGCTAATTTACCTTAGGAGGCAAGAACCCAGCAGGTCATGATAAGTTTGTCTCGTTTGATCAGAACCCAAAACATGTTTGTTGGTCTCATGATGGGAATCCCTCTCAAGGTACACCACATATGACTGCATGTCCCAAAAAAGAAAGATTCCATATCAGAAAACCACCAAGTAAAAAGAAGCACAGGAAATGAATAAAGGAAGATCTAAATTGGCGGGGGCTTGGCTTGCCTTCTTGGCAGCTGATACAGGAGGATTCATGAGACACAGCCAGAAGATTTGCAGCAGCAGCAGAAATGAAAAAGTAGTGGAAGTTGTCATTTCTTTGACTCTTTTTCTTTATCAACTTTGTACTTATGTGTAAGTAACTACTACAAACTTGTGATCAAATGTGTTCTGTTCAAAACATGTTTGAATAAAATAATAATGGAATAGCTAGGGGGCTGTCTATATATATATATATATATATATATTGAAGAGAAGAGAATGAACAAGAAGATATAGCTTGTGGAAACAGATAGAGGTAATAATCATAGCCTAGGATTTTCACACGCTTACTCTTCTTCATGTGTTTCGAAATATCTTTGTATTGGTCGTTTGGTTTATTGCTTCGCTTTGCTTTTTTCTATCCCCTGCATTGCGTGGCGTGTGCCTAAACTATGTATAATGGTGATGGTTTCGTGTGTTTGTTAGTACTGTTACTACACGAAGCCAAAGATAGCAAAATGATCTTGATTCTATCTGCCAAACTTTGATTCCACATTGGGATGAGGAAGGCTATAATGAATGGAGCAAAAGGAACTCCAAACAAATTGGGCAGCCTCGTTTTTGCTATTTCCAGGCATGCACCCCAAGCTAAGGAAGGAAACAATTGTAATCAACTTTACATAGTAGAAATGTGTACGCATGAATCCTGAATAACAAATAATAGCATAATACCTACGTGGCAGAGGAGTGCTACAATAATATGATTGAAGAAATGAAGTTTCTGCAGGGCAAAAGATGGAGATGGAGTTTGTGTGCGGTACTGTATTATTAGTTCTGGACCGAGAAGATCTCTACAGAAGGAAGTGTTGGCAACTCTACATGCCAAGTTGGTTTCTCAGGCTAAGGCTGTAATTAACACAGGCACACGGCACGCAATAATGCAGAATGAAAGGATTTTCATCGTTATATATACAAACACATTTATGAGTCTGATCATAACTAAGACACAGAGCCTTAGTAAATATGAAGACTGCTGCTACTGTTTTCCCTACAGTTCTGGTGCTACTGCTGCTATCCTTTCAGACCCCTTCTGCACTGGCTGCCAGAAAGGTTGGATACTTAGCACTGTGACATCTCGATCGGCTAGCTCCTGATTATTCGATTAATTTGTTTCATTGATATCTTCCCTGTTTTTCATTATGTTGGAGGATGACACTTAGTTTACCTTGTGACTGGTTGATGTACAGTCTTATGTGGTGTACCTTGGGAGGAATTCCCATGGAGTATCCAAGGGAACGGTTCTGAATGGAGTTGAGATGAGCAGGACCTACCACAAGTTGTTGGCTTCTTGCATGAAAAGGTGATTACTTACACATCTCAATCTTTACCTGAAATTTGGATTTGCAGGTTTGCATTTGAACCTAGATATGGTTTTCCTTATATGTGCAGCAAGGAGAAGGCAAAACAAGCCATATTCTATTCATATTCTAGCCACATCAATGGCTTTGCAGCTATTCTTGAAGATGAAGAAGTTGAACAACTTTCAAGTACATCCTCAAAACCCAAACCATTATAAGTTTATAGCCTATCAAAGTCACTTAGTAGTTTCATTTGTGTTTTTTACTTTTTACTACTGATCAGGTCACCCTGAGGTTGTCTTGGTGTCTCCGAATGATGAGTACGAGCTGCAAACCACAAGGACATGGGAATTCATGGGTCTCGAGGAAAGTGGCGGGCATGTCCCAGACGATTCGATTTGGAAGAAAGCAAGGTTCGGCGAAGACGTCATCATCGGCAATCTCGATACTGGTATATATTAAATTTGTTGATTAGATCGCATTTGTCTTTAAATTTGAACCACTAGAACGTAACACAAACGAAACACTTATGTTGATCATTCGTATATGAAGAATATAGGCAGTTTTCATTGTCCAACTATTTAGCTAAAATTGGTGTTAATTAATTAACTCATAATAGTATGATATCTTAGAATGTTGCTTCCACATCTCAATACATTTAACACAATCAACTGAATTATGAAAATGGCTGTACATCTATGATTGTGACAGTTGAACCACTATTGGTGTGACTTTGCAAGCAAAGTCTAGTGTTGCTTGTGCTGCTCAAATGTGACATACATGTAGAATCCTAGACGGAGACATGTTTAACTATTTCCCTTATAGCCCTTTTGCTTGTTTATGAAACCAAAGGGGCAATTATTTACCTTTAATGGGTGGTAATTTGATTGAATATATTTACTGCAGGGGTGTGGCCAGAGTCACCAAGCTTTGACTGCAGTGACACCATGGGTGACATTCCATCCAGGTGGAAAGGTAGCTGTGATACCAGTGATGGATTCAAATGCAACAAGTAATTATTTTCCCTTTTAATAACTTCAAAGTTGGCACTGTTAAAAAGCTGTAGGCATCAGATTGTAATTTTCCCATCTTCCTGCCTTCATGCATGCACAGGAAGCTCATCGGAGCAAAATATTTCAACAAGGGCTTCTCTGCCGCAGCAGCAACAACAGGGCGAGTAGTACCCAACCTCACCGCTGCCGACGATGCCTCGGTAACTTCCTCGGCACGAGACGAAGCGGGCCACGGCTCACACACCCTCTCCACGGCGGGCGGCTGCTTCGTCCCTAACGCCAACTTACTCGGATCGGCCAATGGCACGGCCAAAGGCGGCTCCCCCAAGGCCAGGCTCGCCACCTACAAGGTCTGCTGGCCGAGCTGCTACGCCGCGGATATAACAGCTGCGTTCGACGCTGCGATTCAAGATGGAGTAGATATACTCTCGCTTTCCCTTGGGAGCAGCGGGGCTAGGGAGTACAGCTCCGACAGCATTGCCATCGGTGCGTTCCACGCAGTGAGGAATGGGATCACCGTCGTGTGCTCGGCGGGGAACTCTGGACCGTATGCTTCGACCGTGACGAATGTGGCGCCGTGGATCTTGACGGTGGGAGCTAGTACGGTTGATCGGAGGTTTGTGTCCAGTGTCACGCTTGGGAACGGGGAGCAATACAAGGTTAGTCCCCTGTTTCAATTCAATTATCGTTTACGTACGGTCTTGAGACTTGTAACGTACAAGTCTAAACAGTCAGTTTCTTCTTGATTAATTAGGGCTTCAGCTTCCATACCAACACCTCACCGGCTAAACAGTTCTATCCACTAATCCGTGGGGTGGATGCCAAGTCTGCAGATGCTGACGACAGTGACGCGTAAGATACATTTGATGATCATTCACGTAAGAAGAGGGGTCGTATTAGAAATTCTAACAATCATATGGACTTACGTTTGAAATACAGAAAGTATTGCTTCCCTGAGGCACTCGACTCGAGCAAAGTGAAAGGCAAGGTTGTGTTCTGCATGCGCGGTGGCTCGGACGTGGAGAAGAGCCAGGGGATTTCTCAAGCCGGAGGGGTTGGAGTGATTCTAGCAAACTCATTCTCCACTTCCATTTCTCCTCAAGCTCACTTCGTGCCTACTTCAATGGTCTCCAAACAAGATAGTGATTCCATTGCATCCTACATATCCACCACACAGTAAGTCAGTTTTGACAAAAATAACACACGAAATCTGTAGACTGTAGTTGTGATTTTTGGGATGACCAGTCTCAGGGGATTCCTTTCAGGTCTCCTGAAGCTTATCTAAGTGGTGAAACTGAAATTGGTGAAGTAGTAGCACCTGTCATGGCTTCCTTTTCATCTGTTGGACCCAACAGACTCACTTCAGAGATCCTCAAGGTTTGTTTATCCTCGTCTCTGATAAGTAGCATCTCAGAAGATTGATTACAGTTCAGAAAGATCCTAACGATGAAAACCTTGTTGATGGAACTCACAGCCTGATATAACGGCGCCTGGAATGTACATACTAGCTGCATACACAGAATCAGTCGGGCCAACTGGTGGTGGAGACAATCGTCGTCTCCCTTTCAACATCATATCAGGAACATCCATGTCGTGCCCCCACGTTACTGGCATTGCAGGGCTTCTGAAGACCATCCACCCTGACTGGAGTCCTGCTGCAATCAGATCAGCAATCATGACCACCGGTATGAGTACCTACTTCTTTTATACAAACTCCTAACAGAAATAAACCTTCTGAACAAATCTCAACTGTTGATTTTCTCAGCTACAACAACAAGCAACAAGGGAGAGGCAATCCTGACATCATCAGGAAGCAATGCAACCCCCTTCAACTACGGAGCGGGACATGTCCAACCCAACAAAGCAATGGATCCAGGCTTGGTGTATGATTTGAATCTCACAGATCACCTCAACTTCTTGTGCTACATTGGCTACAGTTCTACACAAATCTCGATGTTCTATGACAAGTCGTACCAATGCCCAGCAAAGAGCAACACAAGTCTATCGAGTATCAACTACCCATCCATCACGGTCACTGAGCTATCAGGAGAAATCACGCTGACTCGAACCCTTAAGAACGTAGGAACACCAGGTACGTACACTGCTACAGTCAGAGCACCGACGGGAATATCGATCGGGGTTGAACCGGAAACATTGAAATTTGAGAAATCAAATGAGGAAAAGAGCTTCCAGATTACATTGAAGCCCGAGGAAACTGCAGGGAGTGAGTATGTGTTTGGGCAGCTTACTTGGTCGGATGGGGTGCATAATGTTACAAGTCCGATTACTGTAAGCAGGGCAGAAAACAGAGTCCAACTAATGTAAACTCTCTTTGTATCTATGTACCTTTTCTACTGTAAGTACAATTACTAGTGTGGTAATCACTCTCCATCTCTTATCCAATCGGCTCAGTTAATTGATCTCGTCAACTCTTTTCTACACGCTACTTACAATCTTGAAGCATACTATTCATTGTAGACAGTTCCTGTCTAGCAAAAATTTACCATGACGATCCAACACAGACTCCAAAATGCCATCAGGCTCTATTTGATTTTCCAACATCAATCTACAAACAAGGCCAGCCGCAGCTGCATCTCCAACATGCAAGTATCCACATAGAAGAGCTGTGTATGCCGTCGCGTCGGGTTGTAGCCCTCTATCAATCATCTCTTTGAAAAATTTCATAGCACCCTTCATATCATTTTCTTTGCAGCGTGCGTCTATCAAAACAGTATACATAACAGGATCAGGCTCCACATCCATTAGTTTACCATACAAGAAAGGTCCTACTACAGCATTGCTGTTGTTGATTTCCCTATTCCTACTTCTCTTGCACCTTATTTCCTTCAATTCCCCCTTCAGCAAAACTGTATAAGTGATAACATCTGGTTCAACCCCTTTGGCCTCCATATCATGGAAAAGATTGACGGCCTCCTTCAAGTGATCGATACTGCAATACAGATTCATTATCGTTGTGTACGTCACCACATCCGGGTTAATCCCATTTGCCTTCATTTCATTGAATAATTCTAGGGCCTTTCTTATTTCTCCAGCACGCAAAAGCATGTTTATGACTCTGCTGCACACAATATTCGAGTAATTAGCCCTTAGCTCTAATACCTTCTTAACCAGTTGAATACACTTCTTGATATCATGTTCCAAACTGGAAAGCAGCTTCAAGCAAGAACGTTTCCTCAGTATGTGCCCTTTTTCAACCAGATAAATAAAAAGAGCAAAGGCCTTATCTGACCTTTTTTCTGAACAGTAAGCATTCACCATGCTACAATAGATATCCAAGCTCGGGTTTTCCAGTGCGGCTAAAAAAGCTTCTGCATCTTCCAATTTTCCTTCTGTGGCTAGCCCTTCAATAATGACACTGTATGTCCCATTGTTAGGTTCAATACCAGAGTCCTTCATGTAATTTAACAAGTACTTCACTTCTTGAGTAAAACCCAATCTGGCCAAACCAGAAGCAAGTACATTATAAAGGACGACATCGGGGGTAATCCCATTCCGCTTCATTTCTTCGAATAATTTCATGGCCTCGTCAAGTTTACCTTCGTCACAGTAACCACTAAAGACAGTTGTATAGTTAATGACATCAGGATGCACATGATTAACTTTCATCTTGGTCAGCAGTGCAGCAGCCACTTCCACCTTCCCCAACTTGCAAAACCCCTTCATCACCATATTGTAGCAAAACTTATCGAGGTAAACATCGGCATTCTTATACCTCCTGAACAAGCTCACGACTTTAGAGAACTCACCTGCTTGACAACAGCCCTGAAGAATCAAGCCAACAACCACAGAATTCGTTCTCAACCCTCTGGACAACATCTCCTCTTGAAGATCTACAGCAGCATCTAGATTCCCATCCCTGCACAGCCCACGAATCACAGCTGAATAAGCAAACTCATCAACCGGAACCTTAGCTTCTAAAAAACATCGAAGCGCTTGATGACCTGAATCGGAGCTATGATGCTTACACAACCCTTGGATGTAAGTGGAGCAGGTAAAAGCATTCGGAGTCATCCCACATTTCTCCATTTCCAGAAGAACATCCAATGCTTCCTTCAACCAACCTTTTTCACAGAATGCCTTAACAATAAATCCATAAATATGATGATTAAGCTGCAATCCAATGCGGTCCTCCAGCTCCATATAAATGGCCAGAGCAGAATCGACCTCACCACACTCAATCAAACGGTTCATGAGAAATTCACATGTCAAGTTGCATGGCCTAGTAATCCCTGATTTCTTGGCCAGGATGAGAAGCTCTCTTGCCCCATCAAACATTCCAAGCTTAGCATGAACATTAACCAAAGCATCCCAAACTTTCAGCAAAATCTCAACATTTGAATAATCAGAACAATCAGGCAAAGCCTCCAGCAAGTCGAAAACCTCGAAATTGGGCTTCACCTGCCCAACTTTCATCTGGATGAGCAGCTCAGAGAGCAGAGAATTCAATTCTCTATCCAAATTCCAGAACGACAGTATCCTAATCATGGCGGCGTAAGTGTAGACATCGTGAACGAAACCGCCAGTTCTGAGTTGATTAAAGAACGAAAGTGCGTGGACAGGGTCTTGCCTGACATTTTGCAGGTAATGAACAAGTCCACCGGAGTCCAGCTGAATGGAATAGCCGGCGGCGACACCGGATTCATTTCGATTGAAATAAACCGGGTTTGTACTTGACCAGGTCGGACTCGAAAGCGCCGGAGCAGCAGCGGTGAAGTAGAGTCGTCGTCTCGGCCACTTGACTAGTCTGACGCAAGCAGAGCAGAGACTGAACTTGCCCGTCGGCGATGCCCACATGGAAAAGCTACGACCTTTATGGAGGCCGGAGAAGGAGGCACTAATGTTGCGGCCGGGAAGTTAAGCGGTTGGACTGCCGCCGTTCTTCAACTGCAAGTGTGAGTAATGAGTTGGGGCTTTTCATTTTCTGGAATTCTGATCCGTGGGCCTCGTTTAGCCCATAGAATTATTAGGCTTGGGCTTCACATGAGCGCATTGCCGCATGGATCGAGATGGTACTAGTTAATGCAAACAACATTGTACATTTGTACTGAATACATGCTCAATGTCATTCTGATTTGTATATTTGGTCAAGTTTTATGCTAATTAACTAACTTAATTAAGCATACACATCACTTTAATTAGCTTTGCCCTACAAATATTATTTAATTAACAATAATTAAATAGAATAATACTCTTTGAGAACAATGGAAAATGTTAAGTTTGGGGGTAAAGAAACAATGAAGTGTGTAAACCCGATCAAGGATTAAGACTCGTTCGTGTTCCCAAAAAACCGAGCACCAACAACCTCTTTGTTTCAATTGGCGGATCCTAATTAACTTTGATTTTAAGATTGTATAAAATTAGAATAAGATTCCATGGATGTTATTGGAGGGGGAGATGAAACCAATGGAGAAGAATTAATCAAACAATGTATAGCATTATTGAAAATCCCAATTCCATCTCACTTGAAAAATATGGATATACATGATTGTTTTTCTTGTAACTCATCCAATTTTCTTGAAATAATCAACCACACATGATATTAAGTATAGTTGAATATCTCAGAGATGAAAAAATCAGTCCAATATAGAAATGCAAATGTTCATATCCAAGTATATGTATATTGTAAATAGAAATTAGGCAAAAATAATAATAAGTGCATAGTTCCCATTAAATATGTATAATAAATTAGATTGTGGTAGTGGTTATGTTGGGTAATCTTCTCTATAAACTCAAACTGTGCGGGAAAATACAATAATTTTGAAAAGGAAAATAGTTAACGAAATAAATAAATAAATTACTATAAAAAATAAATCAAATTCCTTTAATTCTCTGTTGCTATTCATTAGACAATAAAAAAAATTCCTTTAATTGGGTAGGGAGAGGCCAGCACTGCCTTTCTGTTTGTCTTAATGAGTGGTACCAAGTACCAACCCACCAATCGACAATTGTCCCTTTCTTCTTCATTGTGTTTATCATTAATTAGTTATGGGTTGCCTTGTTTATTGACTTCTTCTATGCATGGTATATTGGCTCACATGAACCCACGAGCAAACGAGTTATAATATATTCCTGAATACAATGTTAGTAGCTCATATCCAACAAGAAGTGGATTAATTTTTTTTTTTTCCACATTAAGAACGTATCACCAAATCGTTGATATAAAAACCGTATTATCTGTTATATTATGAATTGATTAACTTAAAAGACATAAAGAAGATTAAAGTAATATGATTTTATCATGATTTTACGAAGATATTGGTTATGTTACCAGACGTTAAATCATTAGCATCTATCACTGATTCGATCTCTCACATATACAACTGCACAAATATTATCTTGTCCAAAAAATTTAAGTTGTCTATCATGTACGATGAATAGTTTCAACATGCACTAACAATAGTAGTTAAGTGCACTGATATTTATAACTCAAGTTAGTTATTGATGAAATGAGTGATTAATTAGAACAAAAGTAAAGGATTAGTTTGGGGTAATGGCAAAGGATAAGAATTGATCCAAAGGAAAAGAAAGAATCTATTAAGGGCGGTGACTGAGAAACCCAAGCAAAGGCCCCCGTTTTTGGCTCTTTCATATATCTTTTGGTCTGAACTATTTGTTGGAAACAAGTTCCAATTGTTTATAGTTTTCCCAACACACTTAATTAGCTCATTCCTCAGCTGCCGCCCTTCTTATTCCATCCCCATTAGAACCCTTTTTGTCTCTCTTCTTCTCCACATGGACTTCCATCTGTCTTCTTCCTTCACTCCCTTCTTCCTATAAATCTACACACTCGTCTTTGAACCCAACATATGGACTTTGGCTCTCAACAAATGCAAGCCCTATTATCCTTTCTCCTTTCTAGCTATTTTCCTTATCAGTTCTTTGATGTTTGACTTCAAAGTTCGAATTTAAAGCGAGATGAATCGATGTATGCTTGATTCCTCTTTGTTAACTTGTACAAGTTGTGCATGATGGATGGTGACAAATGGGTTCATCGAAGTTCAAGCTCATGGTGAAGTATGCTAAGTTTTTTCACGTGGTAACTTGTGTTTGTTATTTAGGTAATGCACGGAAAAGAAGGTAACTTTCATGATGGAATAAATTTATGTGAAGGAGAACGAAGGTGAAAATATGCTTCTGCCTGGCTCCCTGCATGCCATCTAAGGAGCTTTCCAAGAGTGTTTGGCAACCTTCTTAGTTGGCATTACGGGAGCCATGCAGGCAGACCCTCAGATTTCTCACCTCTCCACTCTTCTCCGTTATGCTCTCCCTACTGTCAAACACGCTCTCGTAAAGGCATAATGAAGGTACATCAAATCCTTATTGCATTTGCCATTTCACCAATATATATGGTTCATCAGGAGCAGAGTTAGAATTTGTCATTCAGAGAGATCGTATTATTTCAGATTAAAAAATGCTAAAAGATAGTGATGAGAAAAATAATAACACAAATTATATTATTATAAAAGAAAAATATATTCTCTAAAATGCTCTGAATCACTAAAAATAAGAGTTAACCCAAGCTTTTCAGTACATTAACTCATGATAAATTAGAAAATTAAATGAATTCCAATACTAATATTCTAAAAACTGATTAATTTATTCATTTAATATCTAAAATGATCTTTAAAAAAGTTCAAAGTTAAAGAGTTTAGTATCACTCCAGACGTTCACGCGGTCCAAAAAGAAAAAAACAAGGGTATTGGAGAGGGAGTTGATAAAGGTCGTCCTTAAAATTACTATTGATCGTCCTAAAAAATAACAAAGTTACACTTTTAACCTTTTGGCATTTTTAACATACAAACATCACTTTAACTAAAAAAAAATGAAAAACACTCAATTTCCCACACTCTTGAATTCATCGTTGACATTCTCGAGTCGTAATCGTTGAGAATACGTCCGAATCATGAGTAGCGACTCCGACGAGGTAAAAATCTGATTTTTTTTCAAAAAAAATTCCAAAACCCCTCAACCGAAGCCAATTTTCGGTTGTACCATGGCTCAACCTAAGGCAATTTTCGGTTGTACCATGGACCAACCGAAAATCACCTTCGGTTGAGCCATGGTGCAACCGAAGGTGATTTTCGGTTGGTCCATGGTACAACCGAAAATTGCCTTAGGTTGAGCCATGGTACAACCGAAAATTGGCTTCGATTGAGGGGTTTTGGGTTTTTTTGGATTTGTTTGGTTTATATCAATAATTTTCTATTTTTTTACTACGATTTATGATTCGGTCCATAAGATAATTTGTTGAATTTTGGTTTATATGTTTTTTTAGATTTATGGAAGGGGAAGGAGTTGTTTGTTTTGTGTTTGATTTTGAAATTCAAAATGGGCAATTTGGTAAATGACATATTAAGTTAGGACGATGGTTAGTAATTTTTAGGACGACCTTTAACCATTCAGGTTGGGGATGGATCGGAGGGGCAAAAGATGGAACAGCTAGCCGGCGCCTCCAGTCGAGAACCTACCGGCAGCGTCGTCACACGGCATATCAGCCGAAAAGGAGGACAATGAGTGCGTTTCTTAATTAATTAACGTTGGACTGCATGTATATACTATACGTACGTTCTCCCCATCGCATAGGAATTAGCTAGTGATCAGCTAGGATTTCCTTTCCTAATTAATTTGTATCGAATTCATGTTTCCGATCGATGATGTTATGTGTTCAATTTTTGTCTTTGGTCTGCTTATATATCCAGATGGTTGGGTTCCCCCTTGTTGTTGTTGTCGTTGTCGTCGTCGCTATTGCTTGCTACATATATGTATGTTTGGCTTAGTTTGATTGTGTTTTTGGTCTTTTTGTTTGTCTTGGTTTGATTGGCCGTCTCCTGATTTGATTTTATATATACGATGGATTCTGAATCTGATGTAAAATTCTGGGGTCCTGACTGTGATGTTCCTGGAGAACATGCTGCCATGCTTAGGGATACTACGTACCCGCATTGCATGCAAATATCTCTCTCTCGAGTTCTACAACAAGAAGCAGGTATATGTTCCATCTGACTGGTTTAATTTTCAACACGTTCCTTATCATTTTACTGCTAGTTGGTTGATGTTAATTATAATTTGTTTGTTTGTTTCTCGACGACATTATTAGGGCACAAACTACGTGCTTGATAAGCCCTTGCTCAACTGGTGTAATCTCTTCTCCCCAACGGACTTATTATCCACGCCAACTTCAAGGCCTGTTGGAGGTTGCGAGTTCGGCGTCGACAACGAGGCCAAGGATTTTGCAAAGTACCAATGTTCAGATTCAGCCTCAGATACTGATACAGAATAGCTTGTAGTGGTATATTAGTATTTTTATTCTCTGTCAAACATGGAAGGAAACAGGCCGAGGAACATAATCAACTTCCTTTGACTTATATATATATATATATATATATATATATCTCGATATGTAAGGTAAGGTTAGGTTAGGTGGTTGCAATAAGGTGGTCGAGTTGATTATGAATGGTGGTGTGACAGGTAGGGATGGTAATTTTGACTTGATCTGTTTTACCCGACCTGTTTGACCTGTTTTGGGGCGGGGCGGGCATGGGTAGTCTTATCGACCCGACCTGCCCTGACCCGCCCCATTCTCAACCCGTTCTTGTCTAAATTACATGAAAACTTAGTCAATTACTTTGAATTTTCCTTTTATTGCATCATATTTTAGCTATAATAAAGTTGTAAATTAGTGAAAATCTCAATTTCTCCAATAATTTAACTACAATTGTCATAATATTGTTTATTTTCTTAGTTTTATAATAAAAATAACGAATATTTCTAATGTTTTTCATATAAATTGCATACCCATTGGATCGACCTGCCCGACCCGCGACCCGTGATCAGTTACCCAACCTGGACCCGCCCTGCCACGAGGCGGGTCTGGGTACCAAGAAACCCGCCCCGGACCTACGCATTGCCATTCCTAGTGACAGGTTCATATGTTATCCTGGTTAGACTTTCAGTCTTCCACCCAATAAAAGGGCTTCGGTTATCAATGATTCGGACTACTGTGGGCCTTGGGCCTTGATGATGGTGCTACAAGCTACATTATTATTATTGGGTCTCTCATAGTTTCCGTCGTAAATTTAGGCCTTTTTTGCGTGGGCTTCAGAATTCAGCCCAAACCTCATTCCCTAACGGTTCTTTTAACGACACTACTCACAGTCGTTGTTAAAGAGTACTGGCAGTGAGTAGAGTACAAACAAAGTCTACCAAAGTGTGTTTCTAGACACGTGGACACTGGTCGTCGTTCAAGCAGAGATCCACCTGGTATTGGTAACCACTAACGACCCCAAAGAAGCGAAGCAGCAGAGCCAAAAAGAACGCACTCTACACACGGAGTTCTTCCATTTCTTCCTCTAACGGTGCTTCTAATCCTTTTACAGCAACTCTTTCTGTATACCTCCTTACCTTTGTTCCTTTTTCCTTCTCCGCTCGACCAGTTTACACAAGTATTCTTAAGTTTCTACTTTTCTTTTTTGTCTTTTCTTGTTCTTCTACCATAATACTTCTCTCCATTTCCAAGCTAGTCCACTCATTCATCCTACTGCTATGGTGTCGTTGCAGAAGGGACTGAGGGTAAGCTCAGCTCTCATCTCTCCCGCCTTAACCTACATTTATGGATTTACCCATCTAACTCTTTGGAAAATATCATATTATCAGAAAACAGTTAGGACCAAGAATCTGACTTTGGTAGGTGTCAACTTTAGGACTCCAAGGAGAATGGAAAGAGTATTTGGTGGTGGTGGTGAGAGATGGAGTGGATCCAGAGAAGTTGACCATCAAGTGGAGGAATAAACTTAAGGTGTTAGTAAATTTCATGAACTACTTCCACCATTCATTTAGGTTCCAAGTCCTGTGCTTTGGCAATGAACTTTAATAAGATAGTCCTAATTTCGCAAAGAACAAACATTTTCAAGGACCAAGCTGCTGATCACTGGAGCAAAAAATGCTAACTTTTAAATTGGATCATCACTTGCTGTTCTTGAGATCAAATACAGAAAAACAGGACAACAGGAACTTTTGCATAATCAAACAACATCACAGGCAGGCTCCTAACTCTACAACTTGATCCATCGCATCACAACAATGTCGACTGAATGAAAATGAGCGTTCATAAGTGACTAACCTAATCGATTTCAGAACTCAAGCCCATTCTCCCGAGCTGCATCAGCAAGCGCTTTTACTCGTCCATGGTACGGGTAACCCCCTCTATCAAATGCCACTTTGGTTATCCCTTTCTCCAAGCATGCCTTGGCTATAGCTTCACCCACCTTCTTTGCTACCTCCTGATGAGCAGAACCAGAAAGAGAAATTAACAAAACAAGCACCACCAATGCCAGATTAAGCAATTGAACAATCTACCATTGCACAATCCAAACTCTAACCCCACAATTCTTTCAAGCCCTGTTTACTAAACCATCTCGAAGCTCAATCCTAAAGTAAGCCTCTTTTTTCATTTTCTGCAGATACACAAAATTGTTAGCTTCATTCATAGCATCGAATACACTCACAATGGTTGGGCCCGAGCTGAAATTGAGCTCTTCCGCGAGCAGCTTCTGCATTGTGGAAGCCGCAGCGAGGGTGTGCATCTTGGAATCATCGATGACCTGGACGTAGAAATGCTTGTTCGAACGGTAGACGGAAAGCCTCGGCCGCTCCGTTGTGCCTTCGACCTGTAACAAAAATTCACAGCAAAAAAAAGGGGGGGCTAAATAAAAAAACCAGAGCTCGGAAGCAGAAGGGAGAGAGCTAGAGCCGGCTAAAACCTTCTTTCTGATTCGGGCATGGCGGGCGGTCCTGTCGTCTTGTCTGGTTCTGGCTTTGGCTTGAACTGTGACTAAACTCGGCGGAGGAATCGACGAGCTCGGCCGTGGATTCCCGGCGGCTAATGCCGATAGCTGGTGCTGGTTGAACCCCAGAAAGTTGCTCGTGAACGAACAAGTCGCCATATTTGCTCTCTAAACTCCGATTATCTTCTCCGGCGACGATTCTCACTTCGTTCCCGCTTTATGAATGAATCAGACCGACTAGGCTCCCCCTTATCCATTTATATCCACATTGGTTGGTTGGGCCTCATTGCTCGTATCCGGGTCCTCTTTTTTATTTGGGCTTTTGTTAAAAGAAGCCCGTAACTATTTTGGCCCTCGGATCCAACAAACAATTGGAGGAATAAATGGTAATACAGCCCAGCGGGGGGCAAATGGATAATGATGTATAGACTATAGTTCAGTAAATTTAATGTTCACAGATTCGGATTTCGGCAGATTTTTTTGCCAAATTTTAAAGAGGCATTACACATTTTGGGCGATTTTTTTTAAAAGGTTATTTTCCATAAATTTTAAAGGCTAAAGATCACGGATTCGGCCTAAGACTATTTTTCATCAATTAAGTCTATTAAGTACTGATTTGGCAAGATTTTTTCTAGGGCCATTTTTCGCATATTCCAAAGGGGTATTATCACAGATTTTGAGCGATTTTTTGAAAGACCATTTTCCTTAGATTTTGAAGGCTACAAATCACGGATTCGCCCTGAGACTATTATTCACCGATGATAAAGTTATTATGCACCTATTTGGGCATATTTTATCTGGGACCATATTTGAATATTCCAAAGGAGGTACCATCACAGATTTCAAATTTTCAAAGTCCATTTTTCTTGGAGTTTGAAGGCTATAAATCACAGATTCGACCTGAGGCTATTCTTTACCGATAATTTAGTTTATTAAGCACCAATTTGGGCAGATTATTTCTGGGGCCATTTTTTGCATATTCCAAAGGGGTACCATTAAAGATTTCGAGCAATTTTTCCTAAGGTCATTTTCCTTGGATTTTGAAGGCTACAGATCTCAAATTCGGCCTCATGCTATTCTTCACTTTTAATTAAGTTTATTAAGCACTGATTTGGACAAATTTTTTCCTCACAGTTTTTGGCAGATTCCAAAGGGGTAACATCACAGATTTTGCGCGATTTTTCCGAAAGGTCATTTTTCTTGGATTTTGAAAGCTACATATTAGGGATTCAGCTGAGGCTATTATTCGCAAACGATTAAGTCTAGTAAGCACTAATTTGAGCGGATTTTTTTCATGGCCATTTTTGGTAGATTCGAAAGGGGTACCATCACAGATTTCAGGCAATTTCGAAATATCATTTTCCTTGGATTATGAAGGTTACAGATCACGGATTCGGGTGAGGCAATTCTGCACCGATAATTATGTCTATCATGCACTGATTTCGGCATATATTTTATGGGGCCTTTTTTGGCATATTTCAAAGGGGTACCATCACAGATTTCGGGCGATTTTTCCTAACGCCATTTTCTTGGATTTGGAAAGCTACAAATCACAGATTTGCCGTCATGCTATTCTTCAATAAAGTTTATTAAGCACTGATTTGGACAGATTTTTCACGGGGCAATTTTTGACAGATTTCAAAGGGGGTAGTGTCACATATTTCAGGCATTTTTCCGAAAAGCCATTTTTCTTGAATTTTGAAGACTACAGATTCGCCCTAAGGCTATTCTTCACCGATGATTTAGTCTATTAAGCACCGATTTGGCCACATTTTTTCTGGGCCCATTTTTGGCATATTACAAAGGGGTACCATCATAGATTTCGGGAGATTTTTCGAAATTCTATTTCCTTGGATTTTGAAGGCTACAGATCACGTATTAGACTTGAAGATGTTCTTAACCGATGATTAAGTCTATTAAACACTGCTTTGGATAGATATTTTTGGTAGATTCCAAAGGGGTACCATCATAGATTTTGTGCGATTTTTTTCGAAAGGACATTTTCCTTGAATTTTGAAGGTTATAGATCATGGATTCGGACTGAGACTATTCTTCACCAATGATTAAGTATATTAAGCATTGATTTAGGAAGATATTTTCTGGGGCTATTTTCAGCATATTTCAAAGGGGTGCCATCAAAGATCTTGGGCGATTTTTTCTAATGTCATTTTCTTGGATTTTGAAAGCTACAGATCACAAATTCGACCTCTTGCTATTCTTCATTGATGATTAAATTTATTAAGCACCGGTTTTGGCAGATTTTTTTCGGGACAGTTTTTGGCAGATTCCAAATGGGTACCATCATAGTTTCGAGCAATTTTTTCGAACGACAATTTTCCCGTGATTTTGAAGGCTGCAGATCATGGATTCGGCATGAGGCTATTCTTCACCGATAATTAAGTACATATTTGGGCATATTTTTATGGGGACATTTTTGGCATATTCCAAAGGGGTACCCATCACAGATTTCAGGCGATTTTTTTTCGAAAGTCCATTTTACTTGGAAGGCTACAAATCACATATTTGACTTGAGGCTATTCTTAACCGATGAATAAGTCTATTAAGCACCAATTTGGGCAGTTATTTTTTGGGGCAATTTTCGGCATATTCCAAAGGGTTACCATCACAGATTTCGGGTGTTTTTTTTCTATTGCCATTTTTCTTGGATTTTGAAAGCTACAGATCACGATTCGCCCTCATGCTATTCTTCAACGATGATTAAGTTTATTAAGCACCGATTTGGGCAGATTTTTTTCGAGACAGTTTTGATAGATTCCAAAGGGGTACCATCACAAATTTTGGGTAGTTTTTTCGAAAGGCCATTTTCCTTAGATTTTGGAGGTTGCAGATCACGGAATCTGTGATGGTAACTCTTTGGAATCTGCCAAAAATTGACCCGGAATAAATCCGTCCAAATCGGTGCTTAATGGACTCAATCATCGTTGGAGAATAACCTCAGGCCGAATCCGTGATCTGTAGCCTTCAATATCCAAAGAAAATGGCCTTTCGTCGGCCAAAAAAATACAAAAGTGCCATCCGAAAATAAGTGGGCGCAAATATGTGCTTAATGGACTTATCGTCTGTGGATAATAGGATCAATAGACTTCATTATGGGTGGAGAATAGCCTCGGCCTGATTCGATGATATATAGCCTCCAGAATCGAAAGAAAATGTCATTTCGGATAAATCGCCGGAAATCTGTGATGGTAGCCCTTTGGAATCGGCCAAAAATTGACCCGGAATAAATCCGCCCAAATCGGTGCTTAATGGACTCAATCATCGTTGGAGAATAGCCTCTAGCCGAATCCGTGATTTGTAGCCTTCAATATCCAAAGAAAATGGCCTTTCGTCGCACAAAAAATTATGAAAATGCCATCCGAAAATAAATTGGCCCAAATCGGTGCTTAATGGACTTATCATCCGTGGAGAATAGGATCAATAGACTTCATTATCGGTGGAGAATAGCCTCGGCCAGATTCTGTGATCTGTAGTGTCCAGAATCGAAAGAAAATGGCATTTCAGATAAATCGCTCGAAATTTGTGATGGTACCCCTTTGGAATCTGCCAAAAATTGGCCCTGAATAAATCCGCCCAAAATTGGTGATTAATAGACTCAATCATCGTTGGAGAATAGCCTCGGGCCAAATCCGTGATCTGTAGCCTTCAATATCAAAAGAAAATGGCCTTTGGTCGCCAAAAAAATTACGAAAATATCATCCGATAATAAATTGGCCCAAATCGGTGCTTAATGGACTTATCATCCGTGCAGAATAGTATCAATAGACTTCATTATCGGTGGATATAGGCTCGGCCTGATTCCGTGATCTGCAGCCTCCAGAATCGAAAGAAAATGGCATTTCGGAAAAATTGCACGAAATATGTGATGGTACCCCTTTGGAATCTAACAAAAATGGGCCCGGAATAAATTCGCACAAATCGACACTTAATGGACTTATTCATCGTTGAAGAATAGCCTTAGGCCGAATCCGTGATCTGTAGCCTTCAAAATCCAAAGAAAATGGCCTTTCGTCGCCAAAAAAATTACGAAATTGCATTCGAAAATAAATTTGCCCAAATTGGTGCTTAATGGATTTATCATCCGTGGAGAATAGTATCAGTAAACTTCATTATCGGTGGATGTAGGCTCGGCCTGATTCCGTGATCTGCAGCCTCCAGAATCGAAAGAATATGGCATTTCGGAAAAATTGACCGAAATCTGTGATGGTACCCCTTTGGAATCTGCCAAAAATGGGCCCGGAATAAATTCGCCCAAATCGACACTTAATGGACTTAATTATCGTTGAAGAATAGTCTCAGGCCGAATCCGTGATCTGTGGCCTTCAAAAACCAAAGAAAATGGCCTTCCGTCGCCAAAAAATTTACGAAAATGCCATCCGATAATAAATTGGCCCAAATCGGTGCTTAATGGACTTATCATCCGTGGAGAATAGTATCAATAGACTTCATTATCGGTGGATATAGGCTCGGCCTGATTCCGTGATCTGCAGCCTCCAGAATCGAAAGAAAATGACATTTCGGAAAAATTGACCGAAATCAGTGATGGTACCCCTTTGGAATCTGCCAAAAATGGGCCCGGAATAAATTCGCCCAAATCGACACTTAATGGACTTAATTATCGTTGAAGAATAGCCTCAGGCCGAATCCGTGATCTGTAGCCTTCAAAATCCAAAGAAAATGGCCTTTCGTCGCCAAAATAATTACGAAAATGCCATCCAAAAATAAATTGGCCCAAATCGTGCTTAATGGACTATCATCCGTGCAGAATAGTATCAATAGACTTCATTATCGGTGGATATAGGCTCGGCCTGATTCCGTGATCTGCAGCCTCCAGAATCGAAAGAAAATGGCATTTCGGAAAAATTGCACGAAATCTGTGATGGTATCCCCTTTGGAATCTAACAAAAATGGGCCCGGAATAAATTCGCACAAATCGACACTTAATGGACTTATTCATCGTTGAAGAATAGCCTCAGGCCGAATCCGTGATCTGTAGCCTTCAAAATCCAAAGAAAATGGCCTTTCGTCGCCAAAAAAATTACAAAAATGCCATCCGAAAATAAATTTGCCCAAATTGGTGCTTAATGGACTTATCATCCGTGGAGAATAGTATCAGTAAACTTCATTATCGGTGGATGTAGGCTCGGCCTGATTCCGTGATCTGCATCCTCCAGAATCGAAAGAAAATGCCATTTCGGAAAAATTGACCGAAATCTGTGATGGTACCCCTTTGGAATCTGCCAAAAATGGGCCCGGAATAAATTCGCCTAAATCGACACTTAATGGACTTAATTATCGTTGAAGAAT